TCTACCAATTACCAACGTCATATTACGTTGGATTTTAGTCACTTAAAATTCGTCGCTAAGCACTGACGTTACGTTTGGTTTCATATTCGCTACCAAGAATACCTAACCAAACTACCTAATTACAAAAACCTAACCAAACTACCTAATTACAAATGGATTCATAATCACTCCTCGAATAGAACTATAAGTGCCTACCTAATTTCATATTATAATTCTGAATCATTAATCCAGACATCAGTTTTGTCAACGGAAGTCACTTTTTTTATATATCTGATTAAAATACTCCGGAAAACAACTAGCGCCTTCAAAAGTAGGTAGATTTATGAAATAAAAATATCTATAAAAAAGTAACTTGCAAAATATTTTTTTTATTTTCTAGCTGGTTTAATCATAAAACTGTACTGTGGTTCCCCCCAAACTCAACCTTATCAATATTATTCTACTAGAAATCGGAATGTGAATATAAATTTTAAAAACAAAAAACGATTTTAAAATGGCTTACAATAGGATACCTGTTAAGAATGGCGGATTTCTGTGTCCGACTTAATATGAACTACCAATATACCAATTCCGACCGGGTCTCCAACATTAGTCGTCTCACACGACCGAAGTCATCAAACCGGACGACCGGCAATCGTATTATGACCACATGACGTATACATATAATTCCAGCATACTCCACGTAACCTCACTTTGCGTATCAGTGATTTGTGGATTTGTGCAACTATATTTTAATTTTTGTTTTCTCTTTAAAACAATGGGCAGCCACTTTTTTAAGATAGTATATACAAAATTTAAAAGAATTGGAACCAGTACCTCACATGTGGGAGGAGGATGGGGTCTGCTGGTTTCCTAAGCTAAAAAATCAAATTAAGATGCACCAGTGTAATGCAGCATCTCTTCCGGATAAAAAGCATTCGTGGGTGGAGGGAAGACATCACTACTACTATTATTATTTTGTAAAAGCCTCGACCTCTTTCTGTAAAATGTAGATGAATGTCTAAATGCCTTTTTAGTGTTTTTTTTTAGGCATAATAAAAAAAATTAAGTTTGTTTACAAAAACTTTTTATTAGGTTATGTTCATGATGTTTATTAGGCCGCAAATGCTACTTAATGGGTTGTATTTACGGACGTAAATAGAGATACGTAAATTAGGTTAAATATATGAACATAAAATACAACAAAATATAATTGGACGTTACTTTAGGGATTATCAGTGAGACGTATCCTATTCGGACAACGGGTAGACGTCGGGCTAGTTCAAGTATAGGTATGTCGTGCAAGCCAACGTTGGAACGACGTTGGGAAATTAATAAAAATGGTACGTTGTTATTTTGTACGTCGACAGATCGTTGGATTTACCGACTCGGATCCAACGACGTCGCTTTTAATAGGAAAGCGATGTCACCAGTCGTATCACCAGCACCCGACCTAAATTTGCACAAAGTCTGACGTCGCTTCAGGTCAGATTTAGTTCGAAGTCAGATAGATGCTACTTGGGATCTTAGTTCTGAAACGCCCTGTATATTTCAAAATAATTTTAAATTGTGTATATTGTCTTCCCACATATACTCATAAAATATTTCGTTTCTACATCTTTCCGTTTTCGTATAATCAACCGAGGCGAATGAGGTGCGCCACCCTGTACGGTTTATTTGAAATTGTAACATGGGATTTATAACGACAATTTGACTCGAAATACCAAGTGTGTGGTACCAAATTATTAATAAAATGTTTTTTTCAAATATGCTAATAAGCCACCCTTGCTCCATTTTAAAAAATTGAGATATGAGTAAAAATACGATTTGGGCATCCTTTAACTGGCCAGGACAACACACGAAAAATAGAAAAACATTAGACGATCAAATCTCTTTTTCCAAGGCTCCTTTATTAAAAATTAATGTTTTAACACAGCCATGGCACTCTAGTACGGTGCTAGATACTTCCATGGCACTCTAGTACGGTGCTAGATACTTCGTACGGTGCCATTTGGAACCAAATTAAGATTCTAAGCAGCACGATTTCTTTATGTAGTAAGAAGTAAGGAAATGAACAAAAATACATTTTTATAATCCATTTATTTTTCTCCTAGAATCCGAAAATTAATTAATATATAGAGTGTGCCATTACAAAAAACACAACTTTGATGTTTAACTTTTTTTGCAGACACCCTGTATTTTGGACACACCTCTATTTTTAAAAAATGATCTAAATTAACCTACATAATGCTCCCAAAATTTCATTTCAATACAAACGGTCGTTCTGCTTGGAGAGCCTTTGCACCCGCGCATAGGAGGCGCCACCCTGTACAGGGATTTCAGAGATATTTAGTGCGATATCTATAAATGTAAGACAAGTACTACTTGGAGAAATCCCTAGAAAGTGCAAAAAACATGATCACAAAAGATCTGAAAGTAATGTAAATATACCGGGTGCGTCTCAAAAGTGGCTCACCCCTATAACTTTTTTTATTGTTCCAGATAAAAAAAAAGAGATTTGGTATTTTAGTATATGATATAAATTAGGATTGATTGACGTATTCAATTGTTTTCGGTCACTTCCTGTTTTGCCGGAAGTAATAATATATATAGCTATAACTTTTGATTTTTAAATGGCACCCGCGGTATTTTTTTACTTTATTCGATAGAAAATGACACTTTAAATCGAATGACATATCACATGTCAACTTTTGACATATTGGTTCAAAAACAAATTGTATTTTAAATTTCAATCTAGAGTGCCATGGCTGTGTTAAAAACGTTAATTCTTAAACAAAAACACAACGCTTTATTGTACAAAAAGCCAAAACAACTTCATCGACAAAGCAAAACAAAAAAGCACAAAAACAAATAGACAAATAAACAAGTAAAAATGTCATACAATACAAATCAATTAAAAAAAAATTTACGTCATAAAATTACAAATAAAATATATATGGATTGTAGAACACAGGCGTATCTAGAAAATGTTACAAAAGAAAAACTGTAAATGGATAAAATAATGTTATATATTATAAAATCAAGAGTTATAAAATATTAAATACTAGACCTTTAACCAGTGTGTGAGATGATCAAAATTTTAAAATTCAAAATTGTTCATGATTAAACATCAACAAAAAAGTCGTTTACCGCATATAGGGCTCTGTCCAGTAAGTATGATTTCAGAGCTTTGCGAAATGCGGGAAAGAATGAAAGTGACTTGATATTCGAAGGCAAATGATTGTACATTTTCTTGGCATTGTACAGTATTGAGCCCTTAGTTCTGAGCTCGGGGTTGGCAGATAAATATCGTGCTCCGCATTCCTAAGTGGATAGTTGTGAGAAGGCCTTTCCGGAATAGAGAATATGTGCTTGCGGATTAAGCAAACGGATTCAAAAATTAATAAGGAAGGAAGAGTCAGTATTTTGAAATTTTTAAAGAAATTCTGGCAGTGAGTTCTACTGTTTAGTCCCAATAAGTATCGAACTGCTCTCTTTTGAAGTTTGAAAATACGATCAAATTTTGTCGCGCAGCAAGTACCCCAGAATGGAAGGGCATAATGAAGATGCGACTCAAAAAGGGCATAATAGACCATTCTAGAGGTTGATGAGTTAAGTTCCTTAGAAACTGATCTTAGCGCAAAACAGGCAGAGCTTAGTTTCTTTGATAAGGCTTCGATGTGCGTCCCATTTTAACAAGTTGTCTACAACAAGTCCTAAGAATCTCACAGAGTCCACGACGTCAATAGTGGTGTTATTAAGTACAAAAGGTTGTATAGTACTTTTATATGACAAAACTTTAGTTTTTGAAAGGTTGAGGCATAGGAGATTAGAATCGCACCAAGATTTAATGGTGCGTAAGTCACTGGATATAGTACTATATAGTGCCGTAACATCTGGGCCGCTCCAAGTGAAACTAGTGTCGTCCGCAAAGAGGCAGATTTTACCGCTAATGTCTAGACTTACAATGTCGTTGATAAACACCAGAAATAAAATAGGGCCAAGTACTGAACCCTGAGGGACACCGCATTCTATAGGCTTACAAGAAGACATAGACGTATCAATCCTCACAAGCTGCCTTCTGTTGCCAAGATAATGAAGGAGCCTTGGAAAAATAGATTTGATCGTCTAATGTTTTTAGGTCTTGTCCTGGCTGATTAAAATATGCCCAAATCGTATTTTTAATCATATCTCAATTTTTTCAAATGAAACGAGGGTGGCTCATTAACATATTTGGAAAAAGCATTTTTTTACGAATAATTTCATACCACACACTTGGTATTTCGAGTCAAATTGTCGTTATGAACCGCATGTTACAATTTCAAATAATGCGAAAATGTCAAAAGTTGACATATGATATGTGATTTTATTCAGAGTGTCATTTTCTATCAAATAAAGCAAATATATACCGAGGGTGCTGTTTAAAAATCAAGAGTTGTAGTCATTTCCGGTAAAACCGGAAGTGACAGAAAACAATTGAATATGTCAATCAATCCTAATTTATTTCATATACTACCACACCAAATCTCGTTGTTTTATCTGAAAAAATAGAAACGTTATAAGGATGAGCCACTTTTGAGACGCACCCAGTATAACTTCATTTATTTACGAATTACAACACTGTCTGTAATTTATTGCATATTTTTTATCTATCTCTCTTATTTTTCTCTCCGCTTTCTTCGTTTTTATTTATTTATTTTTCTGCTTATTCTTCTTTTTTTTTCTTAATATTTTTAAAAATTTCTATTCAAGAAAATGGCTTCACTAAAATGCTGTCAAACAACTATGATGACGATGGATGCTTTGTATGTGAGAAGTATGTGTAGTATGTGTAGAAACAGTGTATGTACATACAATGCATGTGTAGTTGTTACATATATTTAGTGCAAAAAAGTTATAAATTTTTCGTAACTTTCTGATGGTCTTTGGTTTATTTTTATTTACTTATTCTAGTAAAACAAAAAATCTTTAAAACTTATATTTTAGTAGACACTATATTAGACAAGAAAAAGTATACATACTCTGAGTCTACTTTCAACATCGTCTACTGCCACTTCCATAATAAAGTTTTCCTTGAAATCGTCCAACACCACCATTCTTTTAATTTTACTTTTCACCTGTTTAACCGAAACGCGAATCTATGCGATGTTTGTTTGGTCGCTGGCTGGAGAACTTTGATCGGCTGAATCCCTCGGGAACGCTAAAGGCTAACTAATCGCCATCCCACCGCTCTCCTGATCTAACGCCACGTGAGAAATATTACTCCAACAAATGTTAAACAAATCGCTTTTAGAGCTCAATGAAATCGAGCAAAGTTTATTAGAGGCTGAGACGTCTGTCTGTGCATCATGTATCGACAAAATGTTGGATTAAAACGTTTGTTTATTTTTCTGTGAAAAGGTTTACATGTTGACAGGAGAATAAATTCAGATTGTTTTAGTCTGGTATCAATAACAATACACAAAATATTTTATTTTTATTTTCTGTTTCTAATCTTTCCTCTTCTTTTATAATTCTTTTCTTTTTTTATTGATTTTTTCATTGACTTTCTTTATTTTTCTTGCTAATAAGAACCTGTTTAAAAACAGTACTCTCTGTAATTTATTACATATATTTTTTATTAATGTTCTCAATTTCGTTTTTTATTTTTCCCCTCCGTTTGTTTTTCTTTTTTATTTATTTTTATCTTTTATTTCGTTTTTCTGTTCTTCTTCCTTTAATTTTTTCTTAACATTTCTAAAAATTTTTATTTAGAAAAATGTCTTGATGACAATGGATGCTGTCCCTGAAACAGTATGTGCCGGGTGCGTCTCAAAAGTAGGACGAGCCCCTATAATTTGTTTCATTTTTTTTTGATAAAAAATTGAGATTTGGTATGTTAGTATATGACATAAATTAGAGGCGATTGATATTCAATTGTTTTTGGTCACTTCCTGTTTCACCGGAAATGACTACAACTTGATTTTTAAATGGCGCTCTCGGTATTTGTTTACTTTATTTGATAGAAAATAACACTCTGAATAGAATGACATATCATATGTCAACTTGAGATATGATTAAAAATATGATTTGGGCATTTTTTAACCGGCGAGGACAACACACGAAAAACATTAGACAATCAAATCTTTTTTCCAAGGCTCCTTGATAAAAAAATCCTGTTTTAAGCAAAACTGTCAAACTTGACATATCATATATCAACTATTATACTCAGTGTTATTTTCTATCGAATAAAATAGAAATATACCGGGGGTGACCAAAAAACAATTGAATATGTCATTCGATCCTAATTTATGTCATATACTAACATACCAAGTACCAAATATCGTCTTTTTATCTGAAAAACTAAAATAGTTATAGGGGTAAACCACTTTTTAGACTCACCCGGTATATACAGGGTTTTTACAAATATTTAGTGCGAAAAAGTTATAAAGTAAGCTCTAAATTCTATAGCATTATACAAAAAAATAATATTTTACTTTATTTCCTCAAGTTTTTCGTTTAGCAATTATATCTAGATTTTCCAACATTATACCCAGCATGGAAGTAAGGTCATTACTTAAGTATATAAATATTTTTTTCAACATATCATAAAGATGGTAAAAAAATAGACATACAAAAACCAATTTTTGAAGCTTTTATTTTTTTCGCCATACTTATTAGAAAATGGTAATAGAACCCTAACAGCGTCTGTCATTTTAGGCTGTATTCCGTTGGAAAACCAGGCGAACCAGACCGGTAAACTACGGTAAAGAGCGGTTCCTGAAAAACATCGGTTTGATACGGAACGGTTTGGTAAAATACTGGAAACGTCAAATGTTGACACTTTTCTAAATTTCAATACCCCTATTATAAAATTTATCTTTTATGCATTTTTAATGTACCTATTCTCTGTTTTTACGTTTTATTTCTTCTTTTCGATGGACTTTAATATTGAAAAGTACTTTATTAATAAACTCTTAAACTCGTTAGACAGCTCAAGTGAAGATTTGCAGGTCCAATATTAAAACAAATTAATAATAAATAAACAAATATAATTAATATTTATATTTTTATAGCTTACAAAACATTCACGACTACTTGTTGTCTTGTTTTTCATGTTTTCTTTAAATGTTCCTGACTTTAAGAAACAATGCTGAATGATAAGTTTAAATGGACTTAAAAAGTCATTCTATTTAGTTAATCAAATTTATTTACCTTTACTGCCTACCTCCAGTGCTTTTGGATGTAAATACAAAATATTATTACGAATTTTAGAAATTAAATGAGAATTTCACTGGAACTTCCAATATTTGCTTGATTTCTGTCACATAAATGACACTGATTGACAATGAAAACCAGAAAAACCAGCCTTCTCGCGCTGGTTAGTTTCGTGACAGTTATAACCGAATTTTTCAGGAACTGTGTTTCGTAATAAGAAAACCTTCAGGAAACCGATAAAAACGGAACATAAAACCATAATCAAGGTAAGCAACGGACTATACCCTTCCCTTAATTCACATGCAAATTTTAATTTCTGTCATTTATTGGATGTCGTCTGTCGAAATCTTCTTTGAGTCGTTTGACAGATCTACCAAAAACTAGTATGCTATGCTACGCCAGTGTTATTATAAAATAGTCTGAAACCTGGACCAGTTCAATCAACAAAGTCAACGAGATTATTTTTGACGTTTCATATTTTCTTTGTCCGTCTAAATGACTTATGAATCATGTAAAGCATTCCATGGGTATTATTAGAGTCACAATAACATGATAGATGCTTTCGCAAGAATTTAAATTAAGTACCCAGTGTTCATAATTTTGATACGATCATTTCTGGCTCGCTTTCAATAACTTGCATTGTTTGTCCAACTGCGAATCCAAGTTTACTGAATTTTACCTTAATGACGTTAGTACTTTTACATTTAAACGGTACATTTAAAGAGTCAGTAGCGGCGATAAGGATCTGGGTGTCCACCATCCCAAATTTTGACAAGATATTCATTTATATCATATACATATATAACTTCATATTGTTACGTTTTTCGTCGGTTCCGTGTGGATAGAAAGTCACAATTTATTTAAACACAATTTATTTAACACTAATTAACAAAAACAATAACGATTAAAAGACTTAAAGAACTATTTATAACTTATTTACAATATTATCTATTTATTTATCTAACAGAAATTTATTTTGAATTAGCGCGGCGATTGTAACTGTACGCGTCGATCGGTTATTTATCTCTGTCCTCCTTAGGCCCCGGCGTCTGCTTATATAGGAGAGAAACAGACAATCCAGATTTGTCTAGTCAATTCTTATTCGTTCTAGAACGTCGGCATCGCTGGGCGTATGAGTCATAGGCGAGTGGCCTAAGGCTGAATTCACACGGCACGGGTCTGCAACACGGCCCCCTTCTTAGGTACATGCTCGTCCCGAGATGTACACGGTGAATGAAGGCATTTGCAACAAAAACTACAAAAAAATATCATACTCGATATTTATATAATTTTTCCTGAAAAATTACTTCAATTCTGTTAACCAATATATCTGTAATCATTTTTTTTGTTAATTTACTCAACACGTACCTCACAACATGCACAAATATACTAAGGGTCGGTATTTCTGGTCTTGGGTGCCGATTTTCATGTGTACGAAGAGTACGGTCAACACGCTTAGTAAAATAAGATGTATTGAATAAAGCCAGAAGGCGAGTATTTTTCCAAGCGCATGGAATCTAGCGTCAGATTAAGTAGTTATGTAATAAATACTTCGTATTTTTGCTCACTCCGACTTACTAGATTGCCATAACGACTCACTCCTATACATGTAAACGCCGACCCAAAGGTTCGCTTGCCAGCAGGGTATAAATAATATTTAATAATGCACAATTTTTTAAAAACAAAATTTAACAAAAAACAAACTGGCCCCTGCCCTGGTACATTGAGAAGTCTGGTAGAAAAAGCAGGCTACTTTGGGTTATAGCAGCAAACGAGGATCTCGATTCCCGTAAATCTAAACAAGACTTCAATCATGTTCCGGATTGTACGCCAACTCAAACCATCGAGTCCATACGCCAGCTTCGGAATGGCTAATCGTGTAATGTTGTTGTTTAGCAGCGCTTCTCTCAGTTGAATAAGGGTCTTCCATAGATTGAGATATGTCGGCTTACTCGGGGACCATTCCTTAGTGACCAGGTAGAAGATGTGTCTTGCTTGACCATGTGCATTATCGGTTAGCCTCAAGATGCTTCAAACCTCTGGATCCTGTCGGCGTAGTTCTCCGACACGCCTAAACTTTTTATTGAACGTCGCAGCGATTACTGTGGACATCCGCAAATCTCGGGCCACACAGTGAGCGAGCGAATAATCAGGATTCACGGAAAATAGGTCTCGTTGTTATTCTTTGGTTACACCATAGCGAGCCTTCTCACTGCTGTTGTATCGGGCCATGAAATCATCAAAGGGTATCTCCGAATCAGGGGGATCAAAGCTGCAGGTTCTCACGGCCCCAGCACGATCTTCTATTTCGCCTTGTAGGGGCTCAAACGGTTGAAATGAACTATCCTCGGTTTTCCTTTTAGCAATTTTCTGATACGGTATACGACGTCATTAATCCTATCCATGACTTCGTATGGGCCTTCCCACGAAGATTGTAGCTTTTTTGTTCCAGTCTCTTTGGTGGTCAGAGACTACTTTGGCCAAATAACGGTTGATGGTTCTGTTCATGCGTTCAACCATCCCATCGGATTGTGGATGCAGAGCAGTCGTCCTGGTCTTGCGGATGTTAAGGACCTCACAGACGCCTTGGAACAGATTGGACTCAAAGTTTCTTTCCTGATCTGAATGCAGCTCCATGGGAACACCAAACCTGCAGATCCATTCCTTAACAAGAGCATCAGCAATGGTGGACGCTTCTTGATTTGGCAACGCGTAGTCCTCGACTCATTTGCTGAAGTAATCCATTACTACCACAATGTATTTGTTGCCATCGTTCGTCTCCGGGAAAGGACCAGCCACGTCTTAAATAATTAACAAAAACAATAACGATTAAAAGACTTAAAGAACTATTTATAACTTATTTACAATTTATCTAATTATTTATCTAACAGAAATTTATTTTGAATTAGCGCGGCGATTGTAACTGTACGCGTCGATCGGTTATTTATCTCTATCTCCTTCAGGTTTCGGGCATCGGCTTATATATGAGAGAAACAGACAGTCCAGACATATCTCGAA